AGCCTCCTCTTTCTTCTGAGGATTTGCTGATGGGTTTGAACCATTGACCTTGCCATTAGCAGCCTAATACCCAATCCACAGCACCACCAGGACTCCTTACACCTGTACTTTATGTTGTTTTGCAGAAGCAACAAAGGCACAGAATGGCTTTCACTTATTTTAGTGGGACCAACGTAGACATCTTCACTCTCAGATTCATCCATCCTATCTTTAAATTTTATTTTAAATTTTAGATGTATAAAAGAGTTGCAAAGATAATACAGAGTGTCCTGTATATCCTGTTAACATCTTTTATTACCATGGCACACAATTATTGAAAAGTACGAAGTTGACATTGGTATAACACTATTAAGGTGGCATGATGGTTACACGTGCAGCTGCTAACTGGAAGGTTGGTGATTTGAACTCAACCAGCATCACTTTGGGACAAAAACCTGGTAATCTGTTCCCGTACAGATTACAACCTAGAAAGCTCCATGGGGCAGTACTACTCTGTCACATGGAGGTCACTAGGACTTGGAACAGACTCGACGGACGTACCAACAACCCTCTTAATTATAATGTAGACTTTATTTAAACATCACCAGTTTTCACACTAATGTTCTTTTTTCTATCCAGGCTCCAACCCAAGACACCAGCTGCATCTAATCATCATGTCTTCTTGGTCTGGGACCGTTTCTCAGCCTCTCTTTGTCTTTCATGACAAAGTTCTGGTCAGGTATGTTGTAAAATGTTATTCACACTAGTTTTCTGATTTTTTTTCATGATTAGACTGGGTTATGTATTTTTAGGAAGAATGCAGAGGTGACTTATTACTAGAAATGCTGAACTTGCTCATTTGGTTACGAACTTTCTGCCAAGTTTCTCTATTGTGTAGTTACTGTTTTTCCTTTCCATACTCTGTTCATTAAAAATGAGCTATGACATCTGGCCCACACTCAAGGAAATCAAGCTCCACCTTCCAGAGAGGAAGGTTTTGAGGAATTTGTAGCTGTGGATTGAAACTACCACTGTTGTGAATAAATATTAGGGGGAGAGTGTTCAACTCTTCAAGGCTGTGTAGTTGTGTTTCTCCTTAAAGTATCACTCACTAATTTTAGCTTTCACCAGTAGACTTGCCTATAGTAAATGTGGTGGACTCCTTGTGTGGCACTGTAGGCTCAACACGACTGCAAACCACAAGGTCAGCAGTTCAAACCCACCAGCAGCTCTCAGGAACCCTATACAGCATTGCTATGAGTCGGAACCAACTCGATGGCACTTCACAACAACATAAAATTGTAGTCTCTTATTAAATTGTGATACAAATATACGTAACAAAACATTTGCCATGACACCCGATTTTACACATAACATTCAATGACATTAATGACACCATCATTTTGTGCAGCCATCACCACTATCTGCTTCTACCTTTTTCATCAACCTGAACTGAAACTCAGTAGCACCCCTTCAAGGAGAATATCTCACTTCCCCTTCCCACCCACTCCTCGTAACCACTGGTAAGCTTTGTTTAGATGCATTTGTGTATTCTAGATATTTCACATAAAGGGGATCATACAATCTCTGTCTGACATTTAGCATGTTTTCAGTTTCATCCATGTTGTAGCGTGTATGAGAATTTCATTTCTCTTTGTGGCTGAGAAGTAAACGCTAACGATGACTTCCCCCCCCTCCCCCATATTTCCCTCATTTCTTCTACATTATTTAAGTCATCTGTTGAGAAGATTGGTAATTTTCCTCTAATTGACTTATTCAACTATTTACTTATGGTATGGGCTCATGGACATTTATTGGCTAATCAATCAATATTTTAATTATTTATTTTTATTGCTCAGCTTATTTTAGCTTCGTGGAAGCTAAATGGAAGGTCTTTGGGTTGGCTTCTTTTGACTTGCCCTCAAGTTTTCTTCTTTTGTTTTTTGTACTTCCTTACTTTGGGGACCCACAAGACACCCCAGGTTCATCTTATATTTTCCCTGCCTCAACACTAGAGCCACCCATTTCTTCAAGAAGCCCTAAGTACATTCAATGAAGAATGGTATTTTGAAACCAAGATGTGCTGGTTGCTACTGGGGTGTCACTACTCCCAGCCCTGCTCAGTGTACAGAGCTAGAAAACAGATGCATGTATACTAATCCATGTGTGCCCACAAATATGTATTTATTTCTGTGATGATCTATTTGTATAAGGGGGCTTCAAAAAGTTTGTTGAAAATTCTATTCTCTTTTCATTTCATTTTTTCCACAATATTTTGAACCTCCCTAGTATATATGTTGGAGTTCTGGTATGGCTCTGTATGCTAAGCACTGGACTGCTAACCACAAGGTTGGCAGTTCAAACCCACCAGCCACTCCTAGGAAATCCTATGCAGGGTCACTATGAGTCAGAACCGACTCGATGGCACTTAACAACAACAACAGAATATATGTTGGGGAATGATGTTGCTCTGTACTCTAAAGATTGGACTTCAAACCACAAGGTCACCAGTTCAAACCCACCAGTGGCTCCTCAGGAGAAAGATGAGGTTTTCTGCTCCCCAAAAGATGTATAGCCTCAGAAACACTATACAGGGTCGCTATGAATCAGAACCAACTCCATGGCATACCACCACCACCACCACCACCACCATAAATGTTAAAATACCTGAGTTCATATTGTATCCCCAAACTTGAATTCAAAATCATAGGATTCATTCTAGCCTTTCCAACTTGCTTATTTGTAGCTTCTTTCTCTGACAGTGAGAGACTTGGCTGGGGCTATCTACAATATATTGACCTATTTGTTTAACCCTAGAATTAAGCAAAGGAACTCCGCTAGCGTAGTGGTTACAACTTAGGCTGCTAACCTCAAGGCCAACAGTTTGAAACTACCAACTGTTCTGCAGGAGAAAGAGGAGGATTTCTGCTCCTGTAAAGATTTACAGCTTCAGAAACCCTATGCAGGGTCCCTATGAGTTAGAAGCGACTCCACGGCATACAACCACCAACCAAGAATAAAGTAATCTCAGAATTGTTAATGCTATTCCTTTGAGATAAAGATTCTCCAACTGGAGTGAAGTATCCATGTAGTTTCCATGCTATTAGGTTTAGAATGAAAACACTGCTTTCCAAAGTTACTTTTGTCAGTTCATTCCCTTCCACCCCCTTCAGTGAGATTACATCATACATTTATAATACAATCACATTCATTTATTGCAATTTGCAGTCACCCCAGGTTCTGCTGACATTAGGCTTAATTTTCTTTTCTTTTTTTTTTTTTTTTAATTCAATTAAAGTCATTCCTGGTGGTGCACTTTTCTTTGTATTTTGACAAAATGCATGGGGTCAAACATCTACTACCACAGTGCCATATAGAACTGGTCTAAACTAACCCAAATCCAAACCTGACCCTATAGGACAGAGGAGAACTACCCTATGGGGTTCCTAAGACTAATCTTTACTGGACCAAACTACCATATCTTTCTCCCATGGGGCCACTGGTGGCTTTGAACCCCCAACCTTTTAGTTAGCAACTGAACACTAACCACTATTATTAAGCTAGGTATGAGGCTTTCTGGTCCTATAAAGATTTGCAGCCTTGGAAACCTTATACAGTGTCACTAGCTATGAGTTGAAACCGACACACCACCATCACCACCACCACTTGGTGTAGTGCTATAGGATAAGCACTGGACTGCTAACAACAAGGTCTATGTTTTAAACCTACCAGACACTCCTTGGAAACCCTATACAGAGTCTCTGTGAGTCAGAACTGACTTGACGGCACTTAACAACAACTATATATATAAGAAACTCTTGTGGTGTGGTGGTTACAAATTGGGTTGCTAACCTCAAGGTCAGCAGTTTGAAACGACCAGCTCTTTCATGGGAGAAAGATGAGGCTTTCTGCTCCCATAATATGAGTCGGAACCAACTCGATGGCACATAACCACTACCATCATATATATATGGAGACCTGGTGTGGTGCTGTGGGTTAAAGCACTGGACTGTAAAGTTGGTTTGAACTGAAAGGTCAGGGGTTCAAGTTCACCGGCTGCTCTTTGGAAACCCTATACAGGGTTGTGATGAGTCAGAAGCAACTTGATGGCACTTAGCTCTGGTAGCATAGTGGGTTACAAGTTGCGCTGCTAACCACAAGGTCAGCAGTGCAAATCTACCAGCTGCTCCTTGGGAGAATGATGAGGCATTCTGTTCTCGTAAAGATGTATAGCCTCTGAAACCCTATACAGGGTGGCCAAGAGCTAAGACCGACTCTGCAGCCCATAACCACCACCACCACCTTAAGTATATTAAAATAAACCTGAGCTCATATTGTATCTTCAACTCAAATCCAGAGTAAATGTACCACTGTTTGTTTAAACCACTCACCTGTTGAGGATATTTGGGTTATTTCTAGTTTGGGACAATTATGAATAAAGTTGCTACAAACACTCATGTGTCAGTTTTTATGGGAACATAAATTTTCATTTCACGTGGGTAATACCTAGGAATGGGATGGCTGGGTTATTTGGGAAGTATATATTTAACTTAATAAGAGACTGGCAGTCTTCCAAAGTGACTATAATATGCTTTTCAATTCATTAGCAATGACTGAGTTTCTGTTGTTTCGCATTCTTACTAGCATTTGGTTGTCTGCACTTTTTGTTTTTTTTAAAGGGGGAAACTCCTCCCCTTGACTTCTTCCTTCCTGTTGGCCTCTGCCTAGATTACAAAATAATCTGTACTCTTGCTTTGCAGCTGGGCGTTAGTGAAGGCAAAGATTTTAGATGACTTCATGTTTCCACTGGGCAAAAGGCATGATTCCATTGCTTATCTCCTATAAATGCAGATTCAGCAAGAATTCTTAGGTTGGTATGATGGGTGACAGGAATACCTATCTGGCTTTCCCAAACCTGTGCTCCTTCTAAGCTTTAGTTCCCTATTTACCTCAGCCTCTTTTGAGCCCAACCAAATGATTCCTCTGAGACACTGGAGTGGTCAGAGATCATCACTACAGACCATGGGTACAGCAGGATAAACCACCCCCTGGAGCTTTCCAGCTGGGTGACTAGGTCTTAATTCATCAGGAAGGAGCTGGGTATCCAGTCCCTGCTCAGAGTCTCTGTATTCTAAATTGGCAGGTAGCACTCTCTCATAGTCACTATCATCCTCACTTGATGACTCTTCTCCATGCTTCATCTGACTATTCTCACTCTGTGCCAATGGCTGAAAGGTCATGTGATCCACTAAAACAAGAAACCTGCCTGACTGCATGACAGGCTGCATGTGGGTCCCCAGAGCATCTGTCCTGCCTTCTACAGGGTCTATATTTAAGGATGTCACTCTTTCCCCTGCCTGCTGCTGGCCTCCATCGGCATCTGCTGATGGAACATTTTCATAATCTCGGGAGCACTGCAAAGTCATCCAGGACTGCTCTGCCTGGGTGGCCCCAAGATTGAATTCTGACATATTCACATAGTCATTTGAAGTCTGAGAAGAACTTTCCTCATCACTGAGTTGGTCATCGCTCTCAGTTCCTGGAGACCAAACTCTGGTGTCTTCACTGGTATCCCTGTGGCCCATGTCTCTTTTGTCAGGAAAGTCCAGCTCTTGTGCTCTTGGGAGGACAAAGAGGTTCCCAGGGGAGGTGGAAGTTACAGTCACAGTGATCTCTTCGGCTCTGGGCACATTGACATAGTCCCTCGAATCCTCTGATGAAATGCTTAGGTCGTCTCTGGAAGCTCCGACATTGATGTAGTATGCTGAAGGAGTGAGGGTCCTACACATCTGGGGCACCATGGCATTGTCATAGACACCCATCACATACGCTACGGTACAGGTATGGCCTTGACGCACCTGGACGGCATTGCCCATGCATGAAGACTGTGGGGAAGAAGACACGGTCAGTGAGGGGTAGGGGCAGTATTACAAACTGGAGAAACTCAGAGCACTTCGAGAGGTAGCGTAGCTTGGTGACTAAAGCTATAGGATTAGGTTCAGAATGAAGGGCTCAAATCCCAGCCACACCACTTACCTAACGAGAGAGCATAGACAAATGCATGGAATTCATGTTTTCTAATTTAAGGATGATTATAATACCAACATTATAAGATTTTTGTGAAGAGAAAATGGATTACTAGTGTTATGGATTGAATTGTGATCTCCCCCTCAAAAATATATGTATTGTAAATCCTAACCCCTCTATGTGTGGTTATAATCTCATTTGGAAATGGGGTTTCTTGTTATGTTAATGAAGCCAGTTTCAAATACAATGTATTTTAAACTAATCCTTTTTGAGCTATTAAAGAGATTAAACAAGCAATCAAATGGAGCAGAGAAAGGAGAAGAAAATGCCAAGCTACAGGAAGGTCTCCCAGGCACAGAAGCTGGGAAGAAACAAAATTTTCCTTTAGAGCCAACAGATAAAGCCTTCCTCTAGAGTTGGCACCCTGATTTCTGACTTCTAGTCTCCTAAACTGAGACAGAGTAAAGTTCTGTTTGTTAAGGCTTTCTACTTGTGGTCTATCTTATGTATGTTGTTGTTGTCAAATTCCATTGAGTCATTTCCAACTCATATCGACCCTTGTATAGGGTTTTAGAGGAGCAGCACCACCAAATAACCAAGACAATTAGTATTTACAATGTCCCCTGGTACATAAAAGAAAAAGAAAAAAAAAAGGCTTGCCATTATTATTAAGCGGGAGAAAGATAAGGCTTTCTGTTCCCATAAAGATTTAGGGCCTAAGAAATCCTATAGAAGGTCTTTAGTTATAAGCTGAAAGTGACTCAGGGACACATCACCACCACTGTTATTAAAAGGGGAACTGACATACAGACTCAGTTGGTTACATTGTTTTTTTAATGCAAATAACAAGCCCAAACATTATAATGCTTATAGTGATCATAAGAGATGAACATGGTTGTTGTTGTTATGTGCAGTGGAGTCGGTTCCGACCCATAGCGACCCTGTACAGGGTTTCTGAGGCTGTAAATCTTTACAGGAGCAGAAAGCCTCATCTTTCTCCTGCGGAACAGCTGGTAGTTTCAAACTGCTGTCCCTGAGGTTCGCAGCCCGATTCGTAACCACTAAGCTACCAGAGTTCCTTTTACAAAGGGGATATTTCCAGAACTTCTAGATTTTCAAGAAAGTAGGAAATCTGGACTTTCAATTTGAAATCTCTTAGTTTTTTAATGTTAGCAGCTGATTCAGGATGTTCCTAAAATCCTGCTGAGTCCAAATCAAATTTCTTTACAAGCATACGTCAGTTTGGGATTAAAACTCTAAATTCACTCAGGTCCCACCCACATTCTAGAATGAGCTTTGCCAATGAAATTTACTTTTGCCCCCATGCCCTTATCCCCTTGCTGCCCTGGGGAAGTCTGAACTTGCAGCAGCAGAGCTCAAGGAGTGGAATGCCTAGAGGACGAGGAAGCAAAGGCATAGACTGGGTGGACATGGCTGTGTCATTGAACCTAAACCCCTGGGTACTGAGAGGTTGGGTACTGAACAAAATCAGCAGGAGCACTGCCATACTTACCTGAGGATGGCCACAGAATAGGAGAGACTGCTCCTTCAATAAACACAAGCTAATCTATGAGAATTAAATAGGAACCCCTCTACTATAGACGGTGCCTCCTGACAGAATTAGTCTTGGGCTCTTCCCTGGAGCTGCCTTCAGAACCAAATCATAAGATACATGAGGTTATAGTTATTCATTGTAATTCTTCCTTCCTTGGTAACCTCAAAGAAGGAATAGGGAGCCTTGGTGGCCCAATGGTTAAGCACTCGGTTGCTAACCAAAAGGTTGGCAGTTCTAAACCACCCAGCACCTCCCAAACAGAAAGACTTGATGATCTCTTCCCTTTAAGATTCAAAACCAAACTAAGCACACTGGCATCAAGTTGATTCTGACTCAGCGACCCTATAGAGTTTCTGAGACTGTAAATCTTTGGGGGAGAAGTCTCATTTTTCTCCAGAGGAGCAGCTGGTAGATTAGCAATCCAGTGCTTATCCTACAATACCACCAGTTCTGCTGCCATCTGAGGTCAGTGTGAGTGGAAATCAACTCAGTAACATCTGACAATAATAATAACCTCAAAGGACAGCCCCCGTTTGATCACTTTGTAACTCAGTTACAGTGCTGAGTGACTTATGAATTGCTACTACTGAGGATAGTTGGAACAATAGGACACAGACCCTAGAAGTAATTCCCAAAGCAGAGTTTTAAAGTGTTTTGAACAGCCACGGTGTTGTTAGATTATCTGTGTGCCTTGCTGAGCTGATTACTATGAAGGAGTTGACTCTCCTTTGGATAAGCCAGTTCTAATATCTTTGTTAAAACAATCCACTTCAGTTCTAACATCATATCATGGAATACACATGCCCTGGTGCTTTTCTTAAAATTGCAAGCAATTGCTCTGTTCTTTCTTAATTTTCCTTCTTGGGCAGTAGGGAAGTCTTGGTCAACCCGATTTATTAATAGGGCTGCAGGGTAAGTGCCAAAGGACACATCACATATCTGTGGTGAAATAAGATCCTAGACCAGAACTCTTTCACTTCAGCTTTTCTGCCAGAGACCTGTCATTTCTCTCAAGGGGTTTGACTCTTACCGCATGATGAGGGGTAGGGCTGTTAGAATTTCTGGAAAGGAGGCTTTCAGTGCTGAAAACGCGAATGTTCCTGGATTGATGTCTCCCTGAAAGAAGAGATACCATGTCCTGGTGAGAGAGTGAGTGCTCTGAAGACTTTGTACTAGACAATCCCCACATCATGGGTGAAAGTGGGTTGTGTGGTGCCTTGGGGTCTGGTATGTTGTTCTCAGACAGTTAGAGCTATGATAATGATGGTCTCTGGGACCCAGGATCCTGCATAGCACCACTGGCACTAGAGGATAAGGCCTGGGGAAGCTGGGAAAGAACCTTTGGGTGGTTTTAGTCTTTCATGTTCTCCCCATACCTAGACACTCCCTTTCTTTGTCTTTTGCTTAACATACAGCCAAAAATAAAACCCCAAACCCAGACAAGTCTATTCTGTTCAGAGCTCTCTAAGCCCCCAATGGACTCCTGTCTTGTCCCTGTAGGATCAGTACTGAAACTGCAAACTACAAGGCCGGTAGTTCAAACCCACCAGCTTCTCCCTGGAAACCCTATACAGGGTCACCATGAGTCAGATTTGACTTGAAGGCACTTAACAACAACAACAGACTCCCACTGGAGCTGAGCCTTGCAACCTATCAACCCTATTCTCCCAGGTGTCCTGGGAGCAGATATTTATTGTATTTGGGCTCCATGGTTAGTCGCAAGAACCTACCTGGCTCTTCTGGCCTCCGAGGCAAGAAGTCATAAATGTTCTTAGGTCTTTGTCTGTACTGAGGCAGGGTCAACGAGGACATGGCAGTAACTCGGAAGTAAGGAACTGGGCCTGCAAGGCAATGCAAGAGATAGGGTAAGGGCAAGGGTCAGCTGCATAGACTCTTAGGAATGGACTGTTGTTCCTTGGAATTGTTCTCCACTCTCACTAGATGTCATTTAAAAAACACATTTTTTCAGTCTAGGCTAGTCTAGTCTGAGCTAGGCCAATAGAAGACTTGATGAACAGAAGCAGGAAGAGCAAATTGTGGCATAAGGGTACTGGACCAGAGACTTTCACAACTGAGCTCAGTCAGCACTGGGCATTTGGGAGCCGCTGCTCAGATATTGAGTATGACAGTGACTGATGTGTGGGGTAAGAACAGAGGTCTCTCTTGCGCAGAAGTTTATCCTTGGGAAATAACTTGGTGTGGTAGATGTTAAATAGACAGCAGCTGTTGAGTTGATTCCAGCTCATGGTGACTCCACAGGGTTCCCAAAGATTAATTTTTTGGGGGAAGTAGATCATCAGGTCTTTCATTCAAGATGCCTCTAGATTTGAAACTCTAATCTTACAGTTAGCAGCTGAACACATTAATTGTTTCCTCTATCCAGGGACACCAAACATGGGAGATTTAAAAATGAACAAAACCAAAACACGATACCATCAAGTCAACTCTGACTCAAAGCAATCTTAGAGATATGGGAGATCAAATAGCTCAAAATGGATTTTAAATGCCTGGCTTATTATTAGTCCTAGTGGGTCTCAATTTTGGAACAAAGGACTTACGTTTCTTCCAGCTCCACAAGATGCACAAAATCGTAATGATCAGGAGGGTGGCAAGGAGCCCTGCTATCACAGAAAAGATGCCGATGCTCTGGTGGTTTCTAGGAGGAAAAACACCATGGGAGGGTGGGAAGCTAGAAAAGAAACTTCCTTCAGTTGTATGAGCCCTGAGGATTTGGAAGGGACCCTCCATAAAGGAAAGCCAAAATTAGGGCATCTCTAAATAGTGACTTCAAGGAGAGGGGCCAATTTCACAAGGGGGAAAAGGACATATTCCCTTGAGGGCTTACTGTATGTTGTTGTTAAGTGCCATTGAGTCAGTTCCGACTCATAGTGAGCCTGTATGGGGTTTTCAAGGACTGCCAATATTGTGGTTCAAACCAACTCCTACATTGTAATGAAACAAGGTATATGATGTGTTGAATGTAAAACTGATGATCTGCCCTGTAAACTTTTATTCAATTCACAATAAAAACTTAAAAAAACAACAACCAGCTCCTAGCAACCCTGTATAGGGTTTCTGCAGAGGGGCTGGTGAATTTGAACCGCTGCATAGAACCTTATTTAATCTTTATAACAATTTCCTGCCTCTCTTTGTGGCCAAAGACACAGAGTTTTAGACTCAGAAAGTTAAAATAAGGTGTCAAAGATCACGCAGCTAGGAAGTAAACAGAGATGAAATGTGACTCTAGATTGTTTGGGTCCAAGGATGATGCTCTTTCTGTTCCACCACACTGAACTACAAACTTGTAACAGCAAGTCTATCTGCTTTGGCCTCTGTTTCTCCTCTCCAAGCTTCCTGGTTGAAACGGAGGAGAGGCTCATCCTGCTCTTAGTCGGGAGTGGCTCCTTGGCAGAGCCCAGCTTGCTGAACTTGAGTAACCTCCAAGTTGTGGAGCTGGTCTCCAGGCAACACACTGCTGTTTTGTGGAATCTGACCAATGCAAATGCCCTGAGCAAGTTCTGAGCTACCTTGCAACTCCTTGGCAGAGCTGGAGTTACTGCTCGGCTTTGCTTGGGTTGTGAAATGCATTCAAACGACAACCCCAGAAGGCTATGTCTACTGTAGCAGGAAACAGTCAAGTGAGCTTGTAGCAGGGATTCAGTAGCAGCCTTGCTACCCCTAAAAGATCATTTGCCAGGGAAACTTTGTAAGAGTTCCTGTCCTCCTCACCAATATTTACCCGGCTTTCTACTGAATATTTCTGCTTTGTTTATCCAACTTTCTTCTTGACATTTCCACTAGGCTGCCTTATAGCATTCTCAAACCAATGATTTCCAAAACAGAACTACTGTTTTCCTTGAACAGACCTGCTACTCTTCTGGTATTTCCTTTTTTTTTTTTTTTTTTATGTTTTATTGTGAGTTATATGATAATTTACATGAGAGAACCTCAGTTCCGTATTAATTCCATCGTATATCATTACATTGCCATGGTTCCAATCCCCTCCATGCATTGTCTTCCGACCAAAGGGCATATCCTAGAAGCCTGTGCTCTACACTCCCCTATCCCCCCTCAGTCTTCAGCCCACAATTCCTCTCCCTCTCTGGATCCAAAGTCCCCAGCCGCTTCATCCCTCCATGTCATCATCTCTGTCTCCATCTCAGGCATCCCCGGTTCTCTGGGTGGGGTCTCGTTCTTGGCTCTTATCTGTTGGTGGTCTCAGAGACCTCCGCTCCTAGACTGGAGAAATAATCGCTCTCTTCCTTGCTACAAAACATCTACCATTGCATTTCCAACACTCACAATCCGTCTTGATAACCATTATTCACTACAGTATCTCACGTAACCCATCTGTATTTCATTTCATCAGCTCCACCTAGACAAATTGGATAGTACTCACTGGTGATTCTGCCTTCCGCCATGCCCCCTAGCTCTAGGTTCCCTCTTGAAAGCTTGTAAGCCAGTTACTTCTTGCCTTTGTAGTCCCTCCCTCCCCATTTGGGTATCCAATGTCCAAGTTGCCCCTCTCTGTCTACTCTGTGTGTGGAGGGGGTGGGAATGTTTCCCTTGGAAAAGTGATCCTTTTGTTTTTATCACGATGAGATCTAGTTTTTTTTTGAAGTGATTGGTTGGTCCCTTAGTTAGGAAAGACCAAGGTCAGCAATCAGACCCCTGAGATGTGAGAAATCCAACTAGGCTGACAGCTAGCTCTAAAACAATTTTGTGTTTTCACAACTTTTCCATTTCTCCAACACCTTTCTTCTCTCTTCAACACTTATTCCTTTCCTCCTGGCTTCCCTGTGTAAAACTCTTCGAATCTACAGTTTGGTGGTCTTAGTGCACCTTAGCTTGGTTGTGAGAGGTGGCAGTATGGTTGTGCTTAAAGCTCCCCCCAGGCTGTCCAGGACCCTCTGTTTAAATCAGAGCATGGTGGGGCTCACTACCCAAGTCACTCACCTATTTGGGATGCCAAGAGTTACCTGTAGTGTGTTGGGCTTCAAGGTCCTCCCTTTGATTTCTGCAAGGGCTGGAGTGCTATGATCCATTGTCACATGGACCCCTGCAATGCTGTTTGGGTTCAGCTTCTCCTCCTAAGCCTTTTCTTGGTCATAATCAGCTACCCAGCATGCCTACCACTCTTTTTGGCTCTTCCTAATTTGCTGACTCCTAGGAGAAAAGGCAAATTGGTTTGTACTTTGCATACGATCATTTGTGAGGTAAACAATTGGTTAGCAGAAAATGTACAGAATTAGAGAAATCCTTCTCCCCTACCTTTCTTCCAAACACTCTCTAATTCATAGCTGTTCACGCTTAAGATTTCTTGATCTTAAATATCTATTAACTGGAGTCCTTCACAAACAAGGTTTTGTGATTTTTATTTCTTTCTTTCTAAAGCACCCATTTCTTTATTTTCATTCTAGAACTTGCTTGCTCCCAATAAATTTCCTACCCTATTCATAAACAAAAGCCTTTTGGGTTTTATTTCTTTCCTTCTAGAAATTTCTTTCCTTTGACAAGCTCCCTACCTCATCCCTGCCATTGAAATGTCAGGCTGAGCTGACCCAACATACAAAAAACAGATTGGTTCTACCTGGTTGTGGCTACAAAGTCCCAGTGCAGGAGGTAAGATCTTATCCTGGTGTGGTGTTACCAAAGGAGCCAGTTCAAGGGCGATCCATGGTCTTTGCCTCTGGTAGAGCGAGAGTGGGAGACTGCTAAGAAGTCCGGGGAGTTCAGTGAGAAACTCATCCTCATCCCCCCCTCACGTCTACCCTCATCACTTCCCGCCCCTAAAGAGAAAAAAGCAAATGCCTGCCAGAATGGAAACACAGAGTCAGTCACAGGAAGTGAAGCCACCAATGTGCTAATGAGGCATGGGGCACAGGAAATGCTACTCAGCTATCTCTTAATAAGACAGTAGAAAGCACATCTTCCAACCACTGGTCCCTGGGTTGATCCAGTGCTTTATGGCCTGTTATAAAATTCATGAAAAATAGATTTTCTGAGACACAGAGAATTTTTGAAACTTCCAGGTTTAATTTTTCAGCAAGTCTTACTGGGCACTGGAGAGTATTTTTCAGAAACAAACACCGATTTATGGTACCTCGTTCTGATTCAGTGGGTGAAAGATGCAGCTAAGCCTTTAAAAATAGACTCTTCCCAGGTGACTTTGATGGAGATGATGTGTGTTTCACGTTTTGAGAACCTCTGCTCTGGGTATTACCTTAGGAACGGAGCTGATGCTGGGTTCACAGAGCCCCTGGCCCTCTCTTGCATCCCACTGATACCTCTTGAGGACTGCCTCAGTGTCTCCTGCCTATTGGATACCTCTTGCTCTCTGGCCTCCAGGGAAGACCAGCCATAGACCTGCTTATTGGGCACTTGTTTGAGGAGCTACATGGCTCACCACACCAGTCTGCCCAAAGTGTCCCAAACTTCAAAGGCTGCTCAAAGTTTGTTTCTAACTCCCAACCTCTCATCAGCCTACAAATCTCCTGAAATTCTCTGCCGCTTAGAAAAGCCAAAGAGAAGGGACCATTACAACTATTATGAGGGTGTAAAAAAAGAGCTTTCAATTTCATTCCACAAGGAAGTGGAGTTCTAGATGGATGAGAAGAAAAGAAGACTTGCCCCTGTCTGCCCTCTTCTCAGTGTACATTAAGGTCCTGGCCTTCCTGGAGCTGGTAGCCCTTGCCTCATGCCCACCCCCTCAGCTGTGGATTGTTCCTGGTGACTTTCTCAAGATCTCTGACACTCTTTAAGTAAGCTTACCACACAGGAAGCAGAAGAGGCTAAGAGGTGGCCACTCCAAGAGCAGGAACCTGGATCTTCATCAGCTTCTTTGCATTGGGTCTGACTAAGAACCAGGACTCTGCATATATAACAGCTCCATTGTGCTGGTGGTAGAACTACGGCAAGAATGAGGCTCCTCCAGGCTCGCCTTGTACCCCTGTGCCCTGAAGACCTCCCTTTAGTGACTCCTGGCTGCCAGTACTAGTTAGGGATTAAGTGTGAACCAGGAACACAAAAGGTGGAATAGGGGAACAGCAGTAGAATCAGACTTCAGAACCACCTTCTTCCCATTAGCAAATGTATTAAAAAAGGAGCTCTGGTAACGTAGTGGTTATGAATCGGGCTGCTATCCTCAGGGTCAGCAGTTCGAAACTACCAGCTGTTCCCGCTGGAGAAAGATGAGGCTTTCTACTCCCGTAAAGATTTACAACCTCGGAAACCCTGTACAAGGTCGCTATGATTGGAACTGACTCTACAGCACATAACAACAACAAATTACTTAAAAAAAATTTTTTTTTCTAATGAATTTCCCAGTGTGTGACCATTTCTCCATCCAACTCCAGTCAGAGCAGTCTTCTGATATTCTGGTCATCAGGTTATCTGCTACCTCCAAACCCAAGTGAGGGCTTCCAGACCTCAGGTGGAGCTTTAGCCCTGGGTGCTCCATCTCTACACACTTCTCCTTTCCCTGACAATGGGGTCAGACCCCATCAAACTGACTAATACAAATCAAAAGGTGTTGTTGTTGTTAAGTGCCATTTAGTCAGTTCTGAATCATAGCTACCCTGTATAGGGTTTCTGAGGAGCAGCTGGTGGGTTTGAACAGCCAACCTTGTGGTTCACACCAACCTTGTGGTCCAGTGCTTTATCCCACCTAGCCACACCATGACTCCAAACCAAAAGTAGATGGTTAAATTGATTACTTGTCATAGTGGAAGCAAACCACTCATTCCTGGGAAACAGGGAACATGTTTTAAACTAGTTTCCCTTTAGCCATGTTTTGATGATTTTAAACATTGAATGTGATGTATGATTTAAAAGTATGGAGGCTGGGAGCCAAGATCAATGAAGGGGAGGGGCTACAGTGATGTTGATAACACCAAAAACCTTTATTTGAGAGAGAGAAGTACTGGATGAAGAGTATCAATTTAAGTTCAAATCTTAAATTTGCATGACCTGGGTGATCTTGGGCAGGTCATCAAATTGTTTGGAGTGTTTCATTGGAGGTGAAAGAGCAATAATAGTACTTAGCCAATTCTATCCTTGTGTGGCACTGTGGGGTAATGCGCTAGACTGCAAAGTCGGTTTGAACCGCAAGGTCAGCAGTGCAAGCTCACCAGCTGCTCCTTGGAAAAACCCTACACAGGGTAGTTATGTGTCAGAACCGACTCGATGGCACTTAACAACAACAACAATTCTGTCAGTTGTGAGAACTAATTGGGATAATTACTGAGAAATATTTCACTCAGAACTGAGCAAAGCTCATTAAATGAGGAGCTCATACTACGGGGGAGTCTTGGTGTAGCACTGGAGGATAAGCACTGGACTGTTAATTGCAAGGTTAGTGGTTCAAACCCACCAGCGGCTCCTTGGAAACCCTATACAAGGTTGCTATAAGTCAGACTGACTACCACAACAACAATTATATTTCGAGTCCTTAGGTGATGGCAGGAGTTAATGTGCTCAGCTGCTAATTGAAAGGTTGTAGGTTTGAATCTATCCAGTGGCACCTTGGGCAAAAGGCCTGACAATCTCCTTCCCCCAAAGCAGTCACTGAAGCCCTATGGAGTGCTCTGATACACAGGAGGTCACTGTGAGTTGGAATGGAGTCTACACCAAGTGGTTTTGGGTGGTTTTCCCCCCATTTTGGCACTGAACTGATAACCACAAGGTTGGTGGTTCAAATCCATCAGCTGCTCCTCAGAAAGAGCAATAATAGCCTTATACAGGGTCATTATGAGTCCGTACCAACTCAATGGCACTTAACAACAGTGACATTATTATGACATTAGTCTCCTTTCTTTCTAGTTAATGGACTGCTGCCTCTTTCTCTTTGGCTTTTCTTATTAATTTAGTCCACATTCCTACTGCGTAATGCTTGGCATTGGTGGTGGTGGTGTGCTATGGAACTGGTTCTGACTCATAGTGACCCTGTACAGGGTTTCCAAGGATGTACATCTTTACGGGAGCAGAAAGCCTCATCTTTCTCCCGCAGAGGCACTGGTAACCTTGAGGTTAGTAGCCCGACTCTTAACCACTAAACTATCAGAGCTCCTTACCACTAGGCATTGGGTTTGAGTTAACACAGGTACTGTCTTTGCCCTGGAGGCGTGGTCAACTTCAGCTCCACTCCCTCTTTGGGCGTCCTGCTTTCCAAACACATCCACTTTTATACTCTGAACTTTTGCATAAATTCCTGCATTTAAACAGCCTTTTTTTCCCCCTTAAAAAAAAAATTCCAGGAAAATCACATTTAAACAGTTTATACTGGCTCTCTCTGGTTTGTGGGATTTGAAGTAATTTGTTGCTTTCTTCTTTGTGCTCTTTTTTCGTTGCTTGAATTTATTAGAATGACCAAGAGCCCATTTTATAAACACAAAAGTTCAAGGGTTACAGATCATGTTGTTGCTGTTAAGTGCCATGGAGTCAGTTCCAACCCATAGCAACCCTGTATAGGGTGAGCTTGAACCACCAACCTCATGGTTCAAAGCGACTTTGCAGTCCAGCACATTAGCCCACACTGCCACACCAGAACTCCTACAGATCATAGTGAATGTAATTAATGTCACTTGGTGGTGGTGGTAGTGTGCCATGGAGTAGGTTCCAACTCATAGTGACCCTACATAGGATTGCTGAGGCTGCAAATCTTTACGGAAGCAGAAAGCCTCATCTTTCTTCCGTGGAACAGCTGGTAGTTTCGAACCTCAGACCTTGAAGTTAGCATCCTGAGTCATAACCACTACGCTAAAATGACAAGTGTATTAGTATATATTTTTTACCACAATAAAAGTTTTCAAAATTAAAAACATTTGCGGGTAAGTCAGAAAGTATTGCTGCTAAGGCTCCAGTTCAAACATGCACGGGTTTATTCTAAATAAACAAAATGTGTTTCAACATGTCTCTGCTGTTAGTGGATGGCTACAGACAAGTTTTCTCACTTGTCTTAGTCTCATTAGGGTGCTGTGATAGTTACAGTTTGGTGTCAACTTGACTGGGTCAGGATTCAGGATTCTCAGTGGTTGAGATGTCATTG